GTCTCTGCTCAGACTTGTATCAGGGCACCTTCCCAGGAGACAAAAAACTTTTGCACCCGCTGGCCTCAGGCCTCTCTAGCAGCACAACAGTGACCTTCTTTCCATTCCACATCTCAAGTAAAAGGCCCCTTTGTGTTGGATGAGATTGAAATAACTCCCTTAGCAGCAAGAGTGTGTTGTTCTGTGCACTGTGCAGGTTAGCACTTGTCTGTTTGCCTCATATCTCTGTGTCATGCTCCCGTGGCTTCAACAAGAAATTGATATACATATATATGTACTCCTTTTCGGGACTAGTGAATAATATATTCTACTTTTTGCAGAACTTCTTTTATTCGAAGTCTATTACCTTGTCTTTCCTAAGCCATAGAATTTAAAACTATCTCTTGGAAATTGATTTCCTCTCTTCTTTCCGTACATTCCAGACTAGGAATTAGAAATTTAACCAAGCACCAACTAGGTACATTTCACCTAACCCTCCATAATCTTGTTCTCTAGGATGTGCTCTGAGTGTTCCATACTTGTCTCATACTTCCCCAGGTATCTTTCCTTTTAAAAATGCTTTTTTTTTTAAAAGATTTTATTTGTGCATACAGAACTGGGATACAGGCCAGAGATGTGGAGGGTGAGAGAATTCACCAGAGACAGAGTGGAGTGCAGAACAGGCAGATCAACGAAATACACTGCTGAGGGGAGCAGCGGGCGGGTTAGGAGAGGTCTGCCACGCCATGTGGTCACCTCTGGGGCAGGCGGGAATCGAACTCATGAGGAAGCGGCTTTAGATTCTCAGTGCTGTGCTTTAACCCGCTGCGCCACTAGGGAGGGCCATCTTTCCTTTTTATCGCCTGTGTAACTAGTCTCATTGAACTCTGAGTCTTTTGGATTCAGAACTTCCCTCTTGAACTCCAGCATCTTCTTGAGCACAAAAGATTGAATCACTTTTATTTTCAACTTTGTTTCATTCAGTGCCTTTCTGAATGCTTGCTACATCCCTTATGCTGGGATTAACTATGAGGGCAATGGGAGAATGAAGGGAAGTGGCCCAGCCTTCCCCCTTCTCTAGCGAATATGACAGTGACAGAAACAACCTAATATCTGAGGTGTGCCTATGAGAGGAATCCCTGTGTTTTGACAAGATTTCAGAAGTTAACATCCACATGAGTATGTATTTGCTTAAGGAGATTGCTGTTTTATGGAGGCCGACGATGAGATTGTTTTTGGAATTTCTCATTTAGAAATGAAAATTTTTTTATTGATACCAGTGTGTATGAAGCACAACTGAGAAACAGTGGGTGAGCAAAGATGAAAAGGACAGTTAGACAGCATTTTAATGAAAGGCAGCTTTTAGTAAGGGTATGAACACTAAAATTAATCTTAAGACGAATCTTACCATTTCATTCAACTTCAAAAGTGTCTTTTTGCTGCACATAACAGTCATTTTCAAACTTGAGGAATGTTCAAATTCTTGTAGGGAAGTATTTTATCTGGGACCTGCAATGCTGACTTAATTTAGCTTTAGTAAAATGTAATTTAAATATGTATAGACATAAAGTGAGTTACTATATTAGAGTTGTATGTAAATATGAACAAAAATGATTTCTTTATCAAATTAAAACAAACTTCAGGTCCAGTGAAATGATGTCTTTTCGCTGAAACTCAGCTGTTCCCAGACATATTTTGGCTCAATGTGACTGGGTGCCTGATTGGGTGCCTCTGCTGACTCATCCTCCCACCATTTTTCTCTATTCAAGCTACCATGAAGCTCTGATTTATAGAACATCTCATGATGCCATTTGATCTTCACTGGATTCAAACTTCTATTCCTTTGCTATTGACTCTTGACAAGTTATGGAGCTACTTTTTGTTTCTATGCGTCTAAATATCACTCAAATGTTAGAATTTTTATAAAGCATTATTTGTATGTTTGTTCATCTAAAATCACATTATGATATTGACGAATAATTAACTAGAGTGGGCCACATATGGTGATGATGTGATTCACTGTGTTGTGAATGATCACTCAGTAATTATTTCAGTTAGAATTGACTCCTGTTATGACAGAAAATCTTTTCTATTTGATACAAGCAAAAAAGGAAATTTACTAGTTGCACAAAACTGAAAAATCATGAATAGTGTTGTTTAAAGGATGATGTCTCAGACTTCAGGAGGTTATAGATACAAACACACGTGTCCACACATGTGCACACATACATGCACATATATACTACTTAGAACTAGATTGCTAATGCCCAAAATATTGATTTACCAATTCCTAACTGGGTAACTTTGGGAAAGTTATGTAACCTTTCTGTAAAATAGGAATAAAGTGAAGTAGATCCTTCACATGGTAATTATGAAGAACAGTGAGTTAATGTGAGATGCTTGGAAAAGTACCTATCATAGAGTGAGTGCTATGAAATGATGACTTCTGTTAGTATTATTATTGTTATTTTTACTATTATAATTCAGTCATTTCATCCCAGATACCAGAATACTAAAAGAGCAAATCCATCCCCTATAGATCAAACAAAAATCCTGTAATTCAAACAATGGGCAAAGGAATTGAAATTAAAACAGAAATCCTGTAGTTTAATTTCCTGTCTTGTGTTATGTGCTTACCTCTGAACCATGCACTGTATACATGAAGATGGAAGATGGAATTTACCGGGGACTTAGCTTGGCTTACTCTACTCCTAGTTTAGGAATAAGTTTACCTGAAGCATATTGGCTGAGAACAAAAGAGGGGGAGATTCTCTCTCTTTTTTTTTTTTTTAAAGATTTATTTATTTGTACATATAGAACTGGGGTACAGGACAGAGGCTTAGGGGTGGCGAGAGGCTTCACCAGAGACAGAGCGGGGAGCAGAACAAGCAGATCTACGAAGTACACTGCTGAGAGGAGCAGCGGGCGGGTCAGGAGAGGTCTGCCACGCCATGTGGTCACCTCCGGGGCAGGCAGGAATTGAACTCATGCTGCAGTGGCTTTAGCTTCTCAGTGCAGTGCTTTAACCCGCTGCGCCCCCAGGGAGGGTCCGAGGGGGGATTCTCTTAATACAAACTCAGAGTACTGTTACCACTAAGGGGAAGTGGATGCTTTGTGTCAAAAATGATCCAGGTCCTCTGTATTGTTATCAGCAGATCACAATAGCGATCACTTGGTTTCATAGTTGATGTGTTATAATGGGGGTAAGTTTGCCTTGAAAATATGGATTGAAGTTCTGAAAATGTATTTTGTATAAAGACCAGTTTTGATAGTAGGCTCTTTTGTATTAAAATGCCTAAATGTCTATGCCCTAAAGCTTCAGGCAAATGTCTTCTATCATAATTATTTGTTGTTAGCACACTTATTTATCAAAACAAACACAGGTACTCTAGGTATTCATATACCTAGAGAATCCAGAGTATACTTTTGGTTTTTATATTTAGGTTATAGTAAAAATAAAAACATGAAATTTAAATAATTTCAAAGTAAATTATCTTGACCATTTTGATTCAGTAGAACTTTCTGAAATGATGAAGGAGTCTATAATTTGTGCTGCCAAATACGGTAGCTACCAGTCACATCCAGCTGTTGGATACCTGAAATGTGGCTAATGGAATTGAGGAACTAAATTTTAAATGAATTTAATTTTAAATTTAAATAGCCATCTGTGGTGACTACTTCTTAGACAGCACAGCGATAGTTAGCCATATTATTAATATAAAACAGGATGAGTACAAGGTGCCCAACATGTTCTGTACCAAGATGCAGTACACCAAGCACACAGTTACAGTAAGGAGAGGTGAGGTCTATAGATTCTGCCCTGAAAAGTGTTGGACCTTAGAAAACTGACCAGAGAAGCAGGTCAGACCCATCCCAAGACAATACTAGTAGCTGTCTTAGCTTGGCCATCAAGACCTTCATGGCATGACTTCAACTTTCTTTTGCCATTACTCTCCATATATTCTGTATTCTAGACACATTAAATTTATTTATATATCTTTTCTTTGCATCTGGCTTCATTCTTTGTCAGGTACTTCTTCCTGCATGCACCTGAGATTTTTAAGATGAACTCCTCCTAAGGTTTTATGTTCTAGTTCATCATCATCTCTGCCCCTGGATTCCGAGGCATTTATTTGTTCTCTCTGTGTGCTCTCTGTATAGTTCTTAAACTGAGTCCATGTTCTGCTAAAATATAAAATTTTTAATCTCTTCCACTGGCCTGGGACTAATTTTCTGAGGGCTTGCACTAAGCGAGCCAGTTGTGAAAGCTAGTTGGTTGAATGGCTATTTGGTTCTTAACTGTGCACACATCTTCAAAAAAAGATCTTAAGGGCCCTGCCTGGTGGCACAGCGGGTTAAAGCACAGCACTGAGAAGCTAAAGCCACTGCAGCATGAGTTCAATTCCCGCCTGCCCCGGAGGTGACCACATGGCAAGGCAGACCTCTCCTGACCCACCCGCTGCTCCCCTCAGCAGTGTACTTTGTCAATCTGCCTGTTCTGCTCCCCACTCTGTCTCTGGTGAATCCTCTCATCACCCTGCACCTCTGGCCTGTACCCCAGTTCTGTATGTATAAATAAATAAATCTTTAAAAAAATCTTAAAATCAAACTTATTAAGGTATAATTTACATAAAAGAAAATACACATATTTTTAAATGTATAGTTTGATAAGTTTTGATTAGTGTATTACCTATGTAACTACCACTTTCACGAACTACCACATATGAACATTTCCATCACCTTTAAACATCCCTTTGTGCTCCTCCCTCAGTTAATTCTACTCCTCAGTTCTGGCTCCATCCAACCATTAATCTACTATTAATCACTGGCGCATGTCATACAAATAGCATCATGTAGAATATACTTCTTTCACACTTGAAATGTAATGAGGAAGAAAGAGAAAGAGAGAGAAATGTCAGACACATAAATGTGTGGTAAATGTTAAGTTCAACTTGACTGACGATGAGAACAAGCAGTGCTGGGCATTCTGGAGTCATTGCTTTGCTTGTCTCTTCCCACAGTGTACAACTGGACCGTGGACGAGGTGGTGCAGTGGCTGATCACTTATGTGGAGCTGCCGCAGTATGAGGAGACCTTCCGGAAGCTGCAGCTCAGTGGCCATGCCATGCCAAGGTCAGGAGGAGACTGGGTTCTTTCACTTAAGGGTGCAGGGAATGGACTGTCTTTGGGTTGCTCTGGTTAGTTCAGTGAACTCCCACCCTTTTCATGGCGGCCCTCTGCTCTTCTCTTAGTAGCTGTTGTGCTCTTACTAGGCACATGGGTACTTCACATCTATTTTTTTTTTCCATGAATTAAAAGTAACTATAATTTTTTTTCCTTTTTTTATTACAAAAGTTTATTTTTACATCATTTTGTACATTTTTTTTCCATCTCAATTGTAATCCCCGCAGGTTTCCCATCACCAAGTCACCCATGCTTCACATTTATTTTTTAAATTAATATTCCTATCAATCCTGGGAATAGCACTAATAGCTGCCATTTATTGAGTGCCTAATACATGCCAGACACTCTACTCGAATTAGTTCTTATATCAGTCCTGTAAGGTAGGTATTATTTTATATGGGTGATGAAACTGACTAATTTTCCAGGTTCACATGGCTAGTGAGAGGCAAAACTGTGATTTGAACCTAGATCTGTACTGGGAAGACTTCAAGGCCTGTGGTGTTTTTTTTTTTTTTTTTCTTACACTGTCTCCCCAATAGCTGTCTCTTTTATTGCCCGGGAGCTTACAGGTTCTTTTAACCTCTCCTAAATTATCCATATAGTTTATCAATGCTAAAGTAATAGGACAGAGATTGGGACAGGTTGCCATTGGTCTGCAGCTTTCTTTCTGTAATAACTTTTCCAGCATCTATTGTATCTTAGTTCTGCCCCCTTTACAAAGACTTGGGGTGGGATGGGGAGGAGATGGAGTACTACCTGGACTTCTTATTATGGCAGATTAGTCCCTTATGCTATTCAATCATTAATCCATTTACTTACTCAGTCAACAAACATTTACTGGGTACCTGTTGTGTGCCAAGCACTTGTACTGGGTTCTGGGAATAAAGATACCAACAACCTGCCCCTTCGTCTGGTAAGTGCTAGTTATGTATAATCTGTCATCTTATTATGTAGGTGCATCTGGTTGTGAGCTTGAGCAAAGGGGAAAAGGTAAAGTGAAGCTATTCAAATGTCCACACATTTGTAATTTCCAGCTACAGAGCTATAGGGCAGTGCTGTCCAGGCTTAGCTTATCTGACTGTTTCCTCCTTTTATAGCCTCTTCACAGCTTCTCCCTACTCTGGAGAGAACAATTATCTTTCTGTTTGTACATCTCTATATAGAGTATTCTCCATCCAGTGTTTCAGTTCTTGGAAGAGTCTCACAGTTCTGGGAAAAAGGAATTATTATTATTATTATTATTATTTATTTTCTTTTATGGAGTCTGGTGAAGGACTATGGGTATTCTGGTGGTGGGTGTAGTGTGGTAACAAAACCTACAGGAGGAGATTCTGTGTCTCCAGAGCACTAACAAAAGTGTAAACTAGTGTTACCTCTTCCCGCTCTTTAGTATTTCCCACCTTAAGCAAAAGCGTGTCTTACATAAGTAGCTTCACAGTACAACATAGTAGCCAACAGCTAAGGTAGCTATTTAAATATTATCTAACTTCATGCAAATTAAATATTTACACATAAACATTCAGTCCCTTTGTTTTACTTGTCATGGTTCAAGTGTTAGTTAGCCATTCAGAATATTTCCACATCTCTTGAAGAGCTCAAAGCACAAATACTTCATCCCTTTGCCATTCTTTTTTATTAATTTTATAATAGTTTATTATTTTTGTGCATTTTTCCATCTCAGTTGCAATCCCCTTGGGTTTCCCATCACCAAATCACCCATGTGCCCTCACCATAGTCCAGTGCATTTCCCTTCCCCCACTGTTTTTGATCCATTCTCCATTCCACCCCCACAAAATGTCTCTGGTATATAGCTGTTCATCATTATCATTATTATTATTATTTTTTAAAGATTTATGTATTTGTGCATACAGAACTGGGATACAGGCCGGAGGCTCAGGGTCGGGGAGAGGCTTCACCAGAGACAGAGTGGGGAACAGAACAGGCAGATCGACGAAGTAAACTGCTGAGGGGAGCAGCGGGCGGGTCAAGAGAGGTCTGCCACACCATCTGGTCACCTCCGGGGCAGGCGGGAATCGAACTCATGTGGAAGCGTCTTTAGATTCTCAGTGCTGTGCTTTAACCCGCTGCACCACCAGGGAGGGCTCCATCATTATCATTATTTTCTCGCCTGTTCTGTTATATTCCTGATATGAGAGAAACCATCTGGTGTTTTTCCTTTTTTGTGGCTTATTTCACTAAGCATGATCATTTCCAGTTCCATCCATGTTGCTGCAAAAGACATGTGTTTTTTTTTTGGTTGCTGAGTAATATTCCATTGTGTATATGTACCACATCTTTTTAATCCAGCCATCCATTGTTGGGCATTTGGGCTGTTTCCATGTCTTTGAAATTATGAATAAAGCAGCAATAAACATGGGGGTGCAGGTATCTTTTTGAATCAGTGTTTTTGGGTCTTTTGGGTAGATACCTAGGAGTGGGATTGCTGGGTCATAGAGAAGCTCCATGTTTAGCAGTTTGGGGAACCTTCAAACAGTTTTCCATAGTGGTTGTACTAGTTTGCATTCCCACCAGCAGTGCAGGAGAATTCCTGAAAAAGGAATTATTATTCCAACTTTTTGATGAGGAAGCTGAGTCTCAAATATTTTATGATTTATCTAACTTGGTAAATGATTGAACTGGGATTTGCATCCAGGCCTCCCAAGTTCTGAGTGCCCTGTTTTTTTCAATGCATCTTCCTCTTGCCCCATGTAGTTGAAGATACTTTTCCTGGCAATATTCAGTTTAAGAATTTTTAATCAAATTTTACCAAGTACCTGTCATGTGCCATGTCTTCCTCTGCTCCCCAAGGACAGAGAGGTACATTGCACTTTACCTGAGTCTTGAAGAACTCTGTGTTGAATGGCAGAGACACTGAATAGAAAATTGACCATGAAGCTGTGGGACTTATATTTATTTATCATTATCTATGGAAATAGTAGTTTTGTCCTGTGAACACTTGCACCATTACATCTTGAGGAATAGCTGTCACTTGGATCAAAATGGAAAAGCATAGAGTGAGAAATATTCCAGGTCCTTGGTTCTCTTGGCCCTAACTCTTATGACAAACACTACAGCTAAGATCCTTTCCAGTCAGGATGGGCACAGTTATAGAGGAAGCTGAACTGTGACACCTTAGTAACAGCAGGAATCATGGAGGCCTCAGTTCATGGAGTGTGGAATGAAGTAGAAGTGGTTCTTGACCCCTCACAACACAGCATAGCATAATGGGGGAGAACCCAGGAGGTTTGAGTTTATTTCCTGACTTTGCTGCTTACTTGCTATGTGACTTTGGAAAAGTTACTCAAATCGAAGTCTCAGTTTTCTTATTTGTAAAGTGGAACTAATAGAACTGAGGTTTTTTGTTATTTATTTCTGTAGATTCACCTGCCATGCTGTGAATCTACAGGAGATAGGACTCAGCAGCTCAGGCTCCTATCCACGGGTTCTCACAAAGCACTTCTCTGGGTAAAGCCTGCTGCTTCAGTTGAACCCAAATATCTTTTCCCTTGGCTTTCTTTTTTTCCAGATCATTTTCCTTCACACATTTCAGGAGGCTATCTTGACTCTTAGAGTGCTTAATGTGCTCAGCAAGGCTATGTATCAGGAAAAGAACACCAACCTCACAGACTAATGTAGTAGTAAATGCACCATTGAAGGACCCAGGCCAGTAATATTTCAACATTTTGTATCTTAAGAACCCTCTCCTATGCCCACTGTGTTCTAGCAGAGGAGAAAGTGCTGTTTTCCCCTAGGTCATTTTCTTGTTTATACACACTTAATAGAGCTACTTGGTTGAAGGCAATAAAAAAATTACAGTGATTTGATTGGGAGTATGTTTGTAGTGACTCGAATACCAGTTAATATGATTAATTGAAATCAGTTAAAATGACTAAGTGATTACCAGTTAAAATGGTTAATGTATTTTTTTGTCATCACAAGTTTTATATTTAATGACAGCAGGTTAGGATTAGGATAATTCAGTGGTCCCCACCCAAAATCACTGGGTTGTGTATTGCGACGTTTTCACTTGGGCTAGACCTGAGAACGCATTTACAGATGGTAAGAGTATGGGCACAGATGTGTAGCAGATCATTTCTGGAAGGAGAAGCATGACAGAAAATATATGGGAATGGTTAGTTAGATAATCCTTAGACAATAGGTGGACATGAGAAGGGCAGTCTAATTTTTGGTAAATGTTACGTGTCCCTGCAAACTTTCTGTTGAGAGTTGCAAGGATAGATCTATGTTCTAAAGCATGCAAGGGAACAATCACTGAGAGCTAAAAGTTAGGGAACTGTTTCTGGAGGAGGTGAGTAATCCTACCAGGATCCTTCCGACTTTACTGGAAGGAAAACTGATTCCAAACTCTTTGCCTCAACAGGCTAGCTGTAACCAACACCACCATGACAGGGACTGTGCTGAAGATGACAGACCGGAGCCATCGGCAGAAACTGCAGCTGAAGGCCCTGGATACAGTGCTCTTTGGGCCTCCTCTCTGTGAGTTTTGTGGAGACAAGGCCCGTGGTTGTGCCAGGGAACCCAAGGTTGTTGGGTGTTTAGGCTGGGTGCTCCCACTTTTCCACTGCTGTTGAGTGGAATACCCATGCATCTAGTTCAGCCAGATCACAATATTCATTCATTAACTCCATTGGGGACTTATCAACTTTATGTTACTTCTGTGCTGGACCCTGTAGGAAGACCTGCATGAATCTCATTTTCCCCTCATAGTTTAAAATGAATGTTCCAGAATGTTCAGTGCTTCTGAGGTCAAGAGGAGGGGTAGAGAAGGCATTCTGTAAAAGAGGTGGAATGTGACCATTGCCTTTAAGCATGGGTAGGTCTTTATTCCACAGAGGTTGTAGGGGTGGGCCTGCAAGGTGGAGGAAACAATCTGAGCAGAAATACAAAGACTGAGATGTGAGTCATACGCTGAGGAGTAACAACCTATAATGCACTGAATGTCGTTACTATTCCTTGCTCTTGCTGTGGGCATGCAGAGAGTATGGACTGATTGCTGAACATCTTGTTTCCTTGGATAACCAAAGAGAAGGACTAAGAGGGCTTTCATGAAGCAATAGATTCACTCAGACCTAAAGAAGGATGGTCTTTCAGCTGGAGACTAGTTGAAAGAATTCTATCTCTAATGATTTGCAAGGTTGGAACAGTTGATGCTACCATTCTTTCTTATTGTGAACTAAGGGCAAAAAAATAGGACTGCTTAGAAAAATGACCTTAGAGACTCTTAGGACCTACTCCCATTGGGAGCTCTGGGCATCTGGTGAGGATTCCAGCAGTAGATTGCTACAGAGCCAAGTACCAGTGCAAAAAAACAGCTGGCAGGTAGGGTTAGAGGCAGCATAACCTTTCACTGTGTGTGCATTGGACTTGGTAAGTGTCCGCATTGGTGGCTCAATACAGGTGGGCCTGTCCTCCACCCCCCTTTTTAAAAGTAGACTTTATTTTTTCGAGTAGTTTTGAATCAAGTATAGAGATTTTTCATCTTGCTGCCTCCATCCATGCATAGCCTACATTACTCATACGCTCAACCAGAATGGCATATTTGTTAAAAACTGAAGATAATGAACACGCCATTATCATCTGGAGCTTCCCATTCTTGGGAGGCAACAAAGGAGAGTCTATGCAAAAGTAGCCTAACTTTTACAGCTGTTATGTGTTCTGTATTACAGTAGGATTTACCATATCTGAAAGGATGAATTAGAAACTGCAATTAGAGTGGGCAAGAATTCTATCTGGAAAAGTCAGCTATGGCTGGAGAGTATGGGATCCAGAATCCCAGGTATATCTTAGAGGGTCTAGAAGGTCAGAGTCAGCAAGAGGGATCTGAGTAGAGCAGGTTAAACTGATACCCAATGCAAGGTATTTCTCCAAGGCCCATTTCATATGGCCATTTCATATGGCCGATAGGCTGCATAACCTGCCCTAAGTGGGTGGGGGCCAGAGGTGAGCAGAAACCTTTGCTTCTCAGCTAGACAGAACAGGGGCACTAGAGGTAAGAAGACACTTCGTACCTAGTCGGATAACTTCAAGAGAAACAAACATAAATGGGCCCTCCCTGGTGGCGCAGTGGGCTAAAGCACAGCACTGAGAAGCTAATGCCACTTCCACATGAGTTCGATTCCCGCCTGCCCCGGAGGAGACCACATGGCGTGGCAGACCTCTCCTGACCTACCCGCTGCTCCCCTCAGCAGTGTACTTCATCAGCCTGCCTGTTCTACTTCCTACTCTGTCTCTGGTGAAGGCTCTTGCCGCCCCTGAACCTCTGGCCTGTACCCCAGTTCTGTATGCATAAATAAATAAATCTTAAAAAAAAAAAAAGAAACAAACATAAATGAAGAAACAAAAACCAGAAAATAACAAGTCTTGGCAAGGGTATGGAGAAATTAAAACCGTGTCTATCCTTCTAGTGATAATGGAAAATGGATCAGCTACTGGTTATTCTTCAAAATATTAAACAGACTTACTGTATGTCTTGGTAATTGCACATGTAGAAATGTACTTAAAGAATTGAAGACAGATACTCAAACAAGGACATCTGTCACACATATTGATAGCAGGATTATGCAGAAAACCAAAAGATGGAAACAACCCAAATGTCTACCAACTAACAAATGGAAAAATAAATGTGATATAGCCACACAATGGAATATTCATCAGTTATAAACAGGAGTGACATTCTGATACATACTGTAACACAAGAACCTTGGGAAAATGCTAAATGAAGAAGTCAAACACAGCAGCCCATGTTATATGATACATTTATATGAAATATACAGACTAGAGGCAGAAAGTAGATGGCATTTTCTGTAAAACTGATTTAGAGCTATGGGAGTGATTGTTAATGGATACAGACTTTCTTCTTGGGGGTAATGGTAATTTCTAAGATGAATTGCGCTGATGGTTGCACAACCTGGGGAATGTGCTAAAGCCACTGAATTGTACATCTTAAAAGAGTGAATTTTAGGGAAAGTGAATTATATCTCAATGACATCAGTGATAGCAACAACAACAAAACATATACAATTTGATTTTAGACTTCTATTTAGAGTCCTCCTCATAGAGTTAGGGGAAGCTGCTTGGTATCTTTTCAAAATTGCCACTGAATGCATGCCCTTGTCTAGGTCACTTTTCTTAGAGTGGTGTTTTCTGTTTGTGTCGTGAGACATCTGAGCTAATGGATCCTTATGATTCCTTTCACTTGCAACATTTCTTGATATTTTGGGGAGAGACCTTTTGGTTGATAAAGGTCCTGTGTGAGAGGTGGGAGATACTGTCTGTAGCATGTGTTGCTAGGAATTCCATGCTTGGCCTATGCCTTACCAAATTCCCTTTGACCATTTAATCCTTCAGCCTACACTTAGGTTTCCTCCTCTGTAAAACTGATTTAGAGCCGGTCTCTTACCTGCTCTCTCCATGTAGGACTCTGATAAAGCTCTGTGTATTCTGCCAGCTAGGATTTTGGAATCCAGCAGCAATCCTAATGGCAAATATTTTTCTTATGCTTCCCTGCTGATGCTTGTTATAAAAAAAATGAAAATTGCCAGTTGGAATCTGAGGAAAACACTAGGAAGCTTGTCATGAGACTCCAGTAAGGCTGGGATTGTGCTGGTGGGGCCTGCTGAGAATCCTCTGATCTATGTCCCTCTTGACTGTGTTCCCAGCTGAACATAGACTAAAATCCCAAATTCAGTGCTGGTCCCGGTTGAAAACTTAGAATGATGACCTGAGTTGCCCCCGACCTGTGTTTTGTATCTAGGTGAGTTTCTGAGGTTGCATGGGCAACCTCACTGTGAGGCATGAGGCAGATGCATGTCCTAGAGAGCCTGGGTCATTCATAGCTGCCAGCGTGCTACCTTGGCTTAACGAAGTGCTGCTATTGGTCTGCAGCTTGAGAAATCTCAAACCAAAAGTTTGTTGTTCAGTATCTAGGAGGGTCTGCTGAGTGAGTAGAATGCATCTGCCCACAGCAGCCACAGAGCTCAGGAAGGGGAAGTGGGATCACTCTGGTTTAGTACAGATCAGCTCAGGGTTCATTTTTGGATTGTAGAAGACACCTCGTGCCTTCCCATCTGGCCACCGAGCAGCATGTGGTCCTTCAGTCATTTCCACCCTGCAGAGATGGCTAAGGCTCACAGGCCCATCTGGGGCTCTCCTGACAGTTTCGTCAGTCAGGTGTCAGGGGTGCTAGGAGACACAGGCTTAAAGAGTGTTCTGTTTGAGGCTAAGCTGGTGACTCACAGTGGCAGCAGAGCCGGGGCCTTTTCTCATTTACAGATAATTTCTCAGAGAAACTAGGTTTAGAGATGAAGTGAATGCTTAGAGGTCATTCAACTTTTAATTGGCTGAGCTGTGACTCAAACCTAGGTCTTTAACTTACATTCAGTGCTTTTCTCTACCATAATATCCCACTGTCTGTTTCTGTTAAAGGAAAAAAAGATACTGAGAGTACCAACTCTGAAATAAAGCATCTTTATCACTTAGTAGCTTTGCAGCCTTAAGCACATTCCTCTGTATCTCTGTGCCCTAATATCCCCTACATAAGTGGTTAGTTACCACTTGAGTATATGCCTACTGTGGGGAGCCCTGGGCTAGAGGCTAGTGTAGCTGTTGTGCTTTTATCAAGATTATTAGGGAGGGTATAGAGAGAGGTCCGAGGATTTGTTGCGACTGGGGACAAATGTGGAGAGAAAAAGAATAGATTGCACCTTTTTTCCTTCTTCTTCAGTAATTCAGATAGTAGGGAAATCTCACTAGTAAGCAGGAGTGGCTGCCTTTCTGGAAAGCTTGTGTTGGGACCTGGCAGCAATATCCTTACCCTTTTTCTCTTTCTTGTTATGTTCCAGTTCATTCTTCAAGCTTCTCCAGGATGGAAGGCTTCCAGCCTCTTTCCAGACATGCTCAAATCTTCTCTTTAGCTCCCCTTACTCTTTTACAGAAGGAACTCACAGCCCTTGTACCTGCTCATTATACCCATCTGTTCCTAATCTGTTGTCCTTTAAACTGGAACTCCTCGAGGATAGAAACAGCTCATCTGTCATTAGCATTCTTATAAGGTCCAGCAAGGTGTACGTGACAGGAGACATATGCTAGAATTGCACAGGAGGCTAAGCCTCTGCAAGCTACAGGGCTGAGTGGAGATGGGAATAGGGCCTGTATCTAGGAGCTTGTCTAAATAGGCAAGATAGCTAAAAGAGAAGGCCTCAGGGACAATTCTTACAGGTTGTACAGATATCTCAGTACAGACTATATAAATGACAAAAGAAATTCCTATCACACATTTTGGCAGTAGGGTTGAATATTTGTTTCTACCAGAAACACCAGGGTCAAGGTGTTCCAGGGTAAAGGTGTTCCATGCTCAAGGTGAAAGGGTGAAAAAGGGAGAAGGGATTCTAGAAAGTGATAATTATTAAAGATTCATTTTATACTAACTGGGGCCCTGGAAATTCTCACCATTATCCCTGACTCTGTTAACATGTCAG